AATAGGACAAAGAGGTGTTTTTGGTGTTTTACCTATGAGAAAAACATGGGGAGATTTTAAGCCACTTTTTAAAAATCGTGCTTACTCTCTATATATTTCTATCCAAATGTCCATCTCCAAAAATATTTCCAATCCCCATTAATCTTTGTATCATGTGAGATTTGCACCAGTTGGTTTGAAATATTTATAAATATAACGTGTTGCTGGAATCACCTTAAATGGCAAGAAACATGTAGTCTTGGGACCTCTGGTAAAATGTTGGAGTTTTCCTAGTTTGGACTAAATATTTTTGAAAATTGAAAAAAATATGTTTTTTTACTCAACTATTTTAGCGTCTTGAAACATGTATTACCGAGGAATCAGGCAAATATTTCGTGCCGAAATTATATTTTACCTTACGTGAGAACTTGGAATCATTATTTAAACTCAGTCCTGCTCCACAGTATAATTGCAGGCTTGCTTCTCGTCCCAAGTGGTGAATTGTGTACAGTTTATGTGTGGTGCAAAGACAGGTTTCTCTTTTTAGTTGTGACCAGCTCATTCCTAACATTAGTAAGGCATGCTAGATGGTATCCACTTTGCCTCTGAACATAAGCAAATTGTAATCTTCAGTTTAGGACTGAAAGTTAATGTCGGATGCGATGCCTCTTTGACCAGAAGTTTGGGTTGTGATTAGCTCAACCCCTATCACCAATATCAGCATAGATCCATTGAACTATTATGTGTTATTGTACTTTGTGCTGATTAATATGTGTTTGGCACAACACACAATCCCACATCTTGCTAATTGTAGTTGGTAGTTTAGATGGTCAAAGTAGAAGTAGGGAGCATTGACTTTCTACAATCATGATGAGATATCCAGCCAGAGCCTCAGACTGCAATAAAAAAATAGATGAAAATGCAAACTCTAAAGGCCCCGACCGTGTTTTATACTTCTAGGCTGGAACAACCTTTACTTGGAATATCGTACATAAATTGTTTGTATACATAAGACTCTTGTAGTGAATGTACTCTTCGATGAAAAGACAAAATAAAGATGAAAACTACTTTATGCAAAGAAGAGAAAGTAATAATTGTGAAGGGTAGCTACAAACAATTGCATTTTAGTGAGCAATGAAAGTTGCTATAATTATTGGGATTGTTTTGGGTAAGTTTATAGATATGCATTGTGTTTACAGGAATTAATCATAGTGGGGATGTTATTTATGTTGAGATATACTGATTTAGTTAAAGTGGTAAAATGAAGACCATGATAGTGGTGGAGATAAAGATTTTATTTGTTGAGCAATCGATATGAGAAGGAGTTTTTTGTTAAACAATAACCTGGAAAACCAATACAACATAATGCATTGTCATCCCTCATTGGTATTGTACCTTAAAAGCTCTGTTGTTCTTTACTCATTTTCAAAAACATATAAATTATAAAATAAGCCATTTTGTTGTTTATTTTACTGTTATGTATTGTAAGTTTATATATTGAAATAAATGGTTAAATAAATGTAAGTTAAAAAATGAGCCTTATTTTGTCACTAGTTTATTTACATTGATTTGAATCACATTTTTGAACTAACAGATGATTCAATTATTAATTGCATAGCATTTGAAACATAGAGATACAACATTTACATTATTAACTGGAAACTATAGATCTATATTATTGTATGAACATAATTTCTGTATTTCATATACGTAAAAACAATGAGACCATGCTAAATTACCGAATTCAGTAACAAAGGAAGTTGATATTGTGCTATATACCTGAGGGTGTAAATATAGAGGTGGGTATTTTCATAGAGACCTAATGATGAATCAGAATGTGAAAGTTCCATGGTAGAATTATCAAGTAAGCAAGAGTGATCATCAGAGGTAACATGGTCATCAAGGAATTCATAGAGAGGGGTCAGTCAGGTTGAACTAGTAAATTGCAATGATTCATCCAATATAGAAACAAAAGATACAAATAACCAGAACCAATCACTGAATATTGTAGTTAGTTTTCCTATCCTACTGTTAAAATATGAAACTCATTTTAATATGAGTTGGTGAGTTCATGCCCGGTAACATGAATGTAATAATGGTTCTAAATGTATTTATCTTATTTTATGGTAGATTTCACTGTGTGTGTTTACTCTATGGTAAAATTCTTTGAGATCATTTAATATTTAACACACTTAGATTAGTGAATAAATCATCAAAGTGCGATATAAATATGCTGGGTGAAACGTATTAAAACTCGCTTCCAGTTTATCTATTAAAGGATTGTCAACCGTCTCGGTTTTGCTAACTATGACCTGGTGTCCTGAAAAGGGCTCTTAAGATCATAAGATGACAATACATAAAGTTTGGACTATTGACTGTGATGTGAATTTATGCATTCTTTGTCATACAAATTTTACACTATAGTATTTTTACAATTTCTGACTGTGACTGTGATGTGAATTTGTGTGTATTTCATCACATAAATTTCACACTATTTTCACTCATTTCACACCACTATTATGATGTGTTGTGCCTGCATGAGTGTGTTGAGCCATGAATATCATAGACCACCAAGCTATAAGGACGTATGCTAGAACTGATCTAACCTCTGCCAAGCCCTGAATACGAGCCTGAAGGCACAAAACTTTGGACCAAGGATCAATTGTAAATAGACAAACCTGCATGATAGGATATAGAACACTGAAAAATGCAAATGTTAGAAACTTTAGTCTTTTACTTATTTACCCTTACCTTCCTCTGTTTTGGAGGAAACTGCCTTACAACCAACATTATGAAGATTGCATTAATACTCATGATCTTGGTCATTATAAAATTGATCAAACATAAATCTGTATTTGCCATTATTCATAGACCTTTCCTTGTCTATTATGAAAAAGCCATCCAACACTGGTGGTAAAGACTTTTATATTGATGAAATGAAAATTCATTATTAATATGATTGTTAACTATAAGGTTTAAAATTTATATTGCCTTGTTTGGATAATATTAGAAAATGTACGTTATCGCGTAAATGTTTGCGTACTTTCTAAGTAAAAGCAGTTAATATTTTTATGTTGACCCATTGAGAGAAATTGTATACTATTTGTACTATAAAAGGTCTATTCATCAAATCAAATCAAATCAAATCGTTTATTAAGCCAGAATTAACAAAATATTATACAATTTGTATTGGCTAAGTCATCATTACAACTATTTACAGAGGTCTTATGCAGTACTAAAAGCTATACAGTTCTATATACATATTTAAGCTACATCACTATTCATTGAGCTGATTTTATTTCATTCATGCATTCATGCATTTCATTCATTATTCATGCATATCAGTCCAGTAAAAGTTCTGTTACAATCCAGTCATAGGTCAGTCTCAATTGCATCCATAGTTTCTCAGTCAACCTGTCAGTCATTTGGTTACAGTCTGTTTTCTAACTCTTCATTAACCGATGTTATATAACATTTTTTATTTGAAACACAATATTCTATAAAATTTTCATTGGCCAGTTTTTGTTGATTGTTATGAACAGTACTTGATATACAAACACATACGTTGTCATCAGTCAGGCGTCCAAACAATTAAAAAATATCGTTGAGAAGAAATCGGTTGTTGTATTTAACAACATAAAGGTCGATTCACAAACGGTATGTAATAGTTTAATCACGTCACAGTGTATACAGCAACTGACTGTGACTGTGATGTGAGTTTGATTAGTTGTGTGAAATGTGTGAAAATAGTGTGAAATTTTGAAATTGCTTCCAGTTTATACGTTGTCATCAAGCAGGCGTTTGAAAAATCCAAAAATATCGTTGAGAAGAAACCAGCTGTTGTATTTGACGACACAAAAGGTCGATTCACACACGACAAGTCACAGTTCAATCACATCAGTCACGACACAGTGTATACAACAACTGACTGTGACTGTGATTTGAATTTGATTAGTTGTGTGAAATGTGTGAAAATAGTGTGAAATTTTTGAAATTGCTTCCAGTTTATATGTTGTCATTAAGCAAGCGTTTAAAAATCCAACAATATCGTTGAGAAGAAACCAGCTGTTGTATTTGAAGACATAAAAATCAATTCACACATAACACGTCACAGTTCAATCACATCAGTTACGACACAGTGTATACAACAACTGACTGTGACTGTGATGTGAATTTGTGTGTACTTCGTCACACAAATTTTACACAAATTTCACACATATTTCACACATTTCACACAACTATCATGATAGTTGACGACAAAAAAGGTCGATTCACACACGACAAGTCACAGTTCAATCACATCAGTCATGACACAGTGTATACAAAAACTGACTATGACTCTGATGTGAATTTGTGTGTACTTCGTCACACAAATTTCACACAATTTTCACACATTTCACACAACTATCATAATGGTTGTATATACCGTTTTAATGTGTTTTTGTTATTTTTACTTTTTTTACAAAATATTTTATAAAATCATACTTTTATTATTATTTGCAAATTTACACGAATTAGGCTTTCCAACGAACCATTAATTATCAAATCGGTCGAGTAGAAGTCGAGATTTAGTCGTACAAACTTTAACAAAAATATCCCCAACTCAGTATTTTGTTCAATATCAGAACTTTGTTTAATCAATCTCATTTGATCATGCAAAATATTACCTAGTAACAACTTTATCACCGTGGTCATTAATTATTAAGGAAATAGTTAGTTTACGGTTATTTAAGTTCTTTACTAACCGGCCCGGCAGTTAACTGCTCGGCAACAAAAATAAATACGCGCATCGACATAACACGGAGTACGACGACGAGAGAGGTGCATGGGTTATTGAGATGACTTGAGTGGAATTATTAGAATATAAAAAGACAAAATGCTGAAATAGAAGTAACTGTGTTATATTAAAGATCAGAATAGAAAAGTAAACAGCATTTGATAATAAACATTTTGGTTGCTATGGTAACAACTACATATGCTCATAACATTCTCCCCCACTTAATCGCTGGAGAGCAAAGTCCTTAAGATAGGACGGAACCTTGCGATGTCTGGAAGGACGAGTTAAATTGTTTTCTTTTTAGTTCTGTGACTTGAGGTCTGTCTAGATTTTCTTCCCTTAGAGTCCCGTCTAGTTCTGTTGGATTGTTTGTATTTGGTTCAGACTCTGGATGGATATCTTGTGGTGGTGCTTGACAGTCTATAATAGGTATCCGTCTTGGAACAACAGAACTATCTTGTTCGTTGTGTGTTGTAAATGTAACTTTCTTCTTGGATACAAGAGTCGAAATCAATTGATTTATGTGTCGTTTTAAACTTCGTCCAGAATCCAATTCAACAATGTAATGGTATTGACCTACTTTTCTCTTGACATTACCAAACTGCCATATGTCTTTATTTACCAGGTGAACCCTTGCCTGAACTCTCTCCCCCACTTTAAGAGAGCGGACACGAAGAGGAGCAATTGATTTTGATGGAAGTTTTAACTTTGGGTTAGGGAGAAGTGTGTCAAGTCTAATCCGAATCTTCCTGTTCAAATACAACTCTACTGGAGTCTTGCCTGATGCCAAAGGTGTTGCTCGATATCTGAACATAATGTTTTGTAGCTTTGTGGTAATTGGGTTTGGATCATCGGCAGCAGCAATAAGTCTTCTCTTTAAAGTTGGTATGTTTCGTTCCGCCAGGCCATTTGTTGCAGGATGGTTAGGAGCAGTAAATTTTTGGAAAATCCCACGTTCTTTACAGTAGTTGATAAATTCCTCACTTTTGAATATAGTGGCATTGTCCGAGACTAAGAACGAGGGGTATCCGTGGACCAAGAAAATGTTTTCAAGTAGTGCCATCGTCGTTGCAGAGGAAGGAGCATTTCAAAGAATGCGAACTTCTGCCCACTTTGATTTAGCATCTACACACAAGAGGAAATAATATCCATCCAATGGACCGGCATAATCAATATGCACTCTTTCCCAGTTATCATCGGGCTGATCCCACGGATGTACCAGAGCTTTTGGTGGATTGTGACGAACTTTAGCAAGAGCTTCACAGCTTTTCACTAATCTTTCTATGTCTTTGTCCATACCTTCCCAATATACATATCTTCTAGCAAGCTGTTTCATTTTAGTAATTCCGAGGTGTGATTCATGGAGCTCATTTAGAATTTGATTTTGAAGACGTTTGGGAATTACGGCTCGATCTGATCGGAAAAGTATGTTGTCTGAGATCATGTAAGGGCTATCTTTGCGACTATTTTTCAGTTCATGCAAAATAACTTGAAGCTCAGGGTCTTTTGCTGTTTCTTCTTTTATCGTTTCTGCGGTTATCACTGTGCTGGAGATTTGAAGTAAGGTTTCTACATTGATTGTGTTTATTTCTTTGTTGAATGTTAGTTCAGATGAAATTGATGATTGAACTGGGCTTCGAGACAAACAATCCACGTTTTCATTCTCTTTCCCTTTCTTGCATCGAACTATAGTCAAGACCATTGAGGAATGAAGAATAACGCAATAAGCGAGATGATGTCATTCGTGACAGGGCACGTCCTGGATGAAAGATATGTGACAATGGTTCATTATCGGTGACGAGAGTGAATTTTTTACCAAAAACGTAATTGTAAAAATGGGTGACTGCGTAGATGATTGCTAGAGCTTCTCTATCAAGTTGGCTGTAATTGGTTTAAGCCTGAGTCAATGCTCTGGATGCATATGCAATTGGTCTTTCTTGACCATCGATATCATGACTGAGTATTGCAGCAATTCCAGTTGGGCTAGCATCTGTTGTGCTGGTTTTGATGGGTCGAAAGGAATAAGAACTGTATCACTACAAAGTTCAGATTTCAGATTCAGAAATGAGGCTTCAGCAGCAGCTGACCAACAGAACTTTTCATCTTTTCGAAGGAAACATCGTAGCGGATGTGTTTTTGAAGAGAAGTCAGGAATGAATTTTGCATAGCATGTAACTAAGCTAAGAAAGCGTCTTAACTCATCAACATTTCGAGGGTGAGGCATCTGAGTAACTGCTTCAACCTTTTTAGGGCATTTTTGAATCTTATTGAATGACACCACATGTCCAAGGTAGTTAATACTTTCCTTGAAGAAAACACATTTTGTTCTGTTAAGATGTAGATCATTCTTCTTGAAACATTCCAAACATGCAATAAGGTTCTTCATACACTCTTCGAGAGTTTCACCGTGACAAATGATATCATCAAAGTATGCTTCTACCTTTGATAATCCGTTTAGCAGTTGTGACAAAATTCTATTAAACTCAGAAGGGGCTGTTTTTATTCCAAAACTGAGACGATTCATGTTGAACATTCCTTTATGGGTTGATATTGTTTGAATCTTACTTCCCTCTTCATCGACTTTTAGCCTTTTTTAAGCCTTTAGTGCAGGAAAATAGTGTTGGATTCCAGAATTTTAATTTATCAGGCTGAAAATTGGTGGAGATGTCGTACATACAGCTGGGAACATCATATTAAAATTCCCAAAAAATCCCACTTGGGCAACATGCCGCCATCTTGGAAAATGGACGCCATAATGGATTTCCCCCCTTGTGTCACATATTCAAGCATAAAACCACTCCTAATTATGATAAAAACGTGCAGTTTCTTCAGAATGATTTGTCGGGATGTAATTCAAATATTTAGAGCCATTATTTATAGTTTTGTATGGAAATTGCAAATTTTTATACTAAGAATTAACAAAAATAATTGGAGGATAATAATGGTCTTGCATTTAAATTGATTTAAGACCCTTTTTTACTCATCGGGGATAATAAGACCATAAAAACAAACAAAACTGCGTCTAACACTTGTAATAAATATTTACACTCATACTGTTGACTCACAAGACGGTAAATACAAAAGATGGTAAATGGTGATCGATTTCGATTGGACGCTCCAATAATCAGACTCAATAGGCGATCGATTTAATCAGGGAAGTTTTATTCCCTGATTAAATCTTATAGAACAAGTCAAGGCACACAAGAATATGTAATTATATTTGTTTTTGGTCTATAAGTATGACGTCATATTGACGCTGGACATGTGATTGCAGCCTACGTTTTAGACCGCATCATGGTGGTGACCGTAATAAAATTCTGTAAATGGAATTAAATTACTAATGGTAAATAAACAGTTGTGTTAGTATTACTTTTATAACTTACTTTCATTTGATACATAATATTTTTCTTCTTTATATAAACTCCAAAAACTGAATATATTCTGTTTGACAATTGACAAGTTTGTGAGTTATAAAAACTATTTTCTTTAATGTGACTTTTTCCTCTTGCTGCAAAGTGGAATCATTTGCATGTCGGTTGTGTTGACTTCCCGGTCAGAACGTGAACGGGTTGGTAAATCAGGTACATTAATGTCCCCCTCTTCATTTAGTACTGGTGTGGAATTGATCCTGTTACCACAACCGTTGGTGCAGTAGATACACAATCGTGAACAAGATAACCCATTTTCAGACATCCACAATACCTGTTACATCCAGTCTTATATGCACATCTTATCAAGTTGAGGAGGTTGTCAGGTAAGGGGCATTGAAGTAGGAATTGGAGTAAATGTACCTATTTCGTTCTTTTTCCATCCCCACTCTGTAGGTGGAAGAGAACCCCCTAGCCATTCTTGAACCTGGTGGTGCACTCTAAGGCTGTGCTCTTTAGCAGCTTCAGAAGTCGGTAGAAGTGTTGAAAGGTCAAATTAAAAGTCAAGACGTTTTGATATTACTTTCAGGTACTCTTTGTATCGAGTTATCTTGAGTCCCTGGCCACCTTTTCCTCCATATATAGGCTACAAGAAATTCCTATCCAGCTTTGACGATTTCCATCTGTGTGGATTCCACCCGATTGAACACATACACTGGTTGGCAAAGAATTGGTGATTTCTTCAGAACATTGAAGGCTTGTATCTTCCCTCTCCTGTAGGTTGCTGACGTGGTATAACAACCGGACATAGAATGCAGGAAAAGAAGATGCTCTTTGACATTGTCCATACTATTTTGCAGTGCTGTGCATGAAAATGTCTTTTGCTAATGAGCTTTTGAAAGTGGAATGAGCATTAAGATATTTTTGTCAGGGTCAGTAAGGGTCAATAACAGGACGAATGCCTCAGTGTTCTTTCCAACAATTGCAGAGTTTTTTCTTCATTTGCTAGTAGGATGGCTGTTTGAACAATTAGACGGTCTGCATCAGCTTTCGCATGGACCGCTTGTATTCAGCTTCTGTTTGGATGGCTTAGTAATTGTTCAATGAGCCTTGTTTTGTTGGTTGCGTTGGCTAAGAATGGATGCTGCTGGGATACCACCTGCACATCAGAACCAACAAGAACTTCGGCAGATGTCGCTTTGAACGTTTGCCTAACGTGTTCTACATCCTTCATCGTACTTTCCTAGAATCTTTAAAAAACAACAATGACTTGATATCCGTAATGTTTTACTATGTATGTCTGGTACGCCTTCAAAAATGTCAGAGAAAATAGCCGGTTTTGGCCAGACTACCCTGAGAAGATGATGCCCACCATCTATTACAAAGTTTGGAGCTAGTGGAAGACAATCCGTAGGAGGACACAATTTCTCCCTCATGGTCCTTAACGCAGCCTTGTTGGTTTTTCTAATGGTCACATCGTTGAATAATGCTTGTGGTTATGGTGCCAACTCGTATTCAAAACATGTCTACAACTGTTAATCATTACGGACAAGACACATGATTTGATAGAATAGCTTAATGTAATTTTGGCTAATAGGAATAGTTTCACCCCGCACAGCGACCACATTTCCCATGGATAAATGTCACTGTATCTTGCCTGATCTCCTAAAGGGTTTTAATGTGGAAACATATTCCCTCACTTCAGCATGCTGCATGCGAACTCGTTTCCTTTACAGCATTCTATTGCAGTCTCCACCAAGACGCGGTCTAAAACGTAGGCTGCAATCACATGTTCAGCGTCAATATGACGGCATACTTATAGACCAAAAACAAATATAAATACATTTTCTTGAGCGTCTTAACCTGTTCTAAAAAATTGATGCTGGTAAGTTTTTCCCCTGACGAATAAAAGAGGTCTTAAATCAATTTTGAATGCAAGACTAGTATTACCCTTCAATTATTTTTTGGTAAATTTTTGTATAAAAATGTTAAATTACTATACAGAATTATTTACATTGGCTCTAAGTATTTGAATTACATCCTGACAAATCATTTTGAAGAAACTGCACGTTTTTATCACAATTAGGAGTGGTTTTATGCTTGAATATGTGACACAAGGGGGGAAATCCATTATGGCGGCCATTTTACAAGATGGCGGCATGTTGCCCAAGTGGGATTTTTTGGGAATTTTAGTATGATGTTCCCAGCTGTATGTACGACATCTCCACCAATTTTCAGCCTAATAAATTAAAATTCCACTATCAGGCTAAATTTTACACTTTTTTCCTGCACTACTTATGAAGATCCAACTTACAGAAGTATCTTGATCCGCGGAGACTATGTAGGACATCATCAATGCGTTGAATGGGGTGGTTAGATGAGACAAGTTTTGAATTAACCCCACACTTGTAATCTACGCATAGTCTGACTCCTCCATCTGGCTTTGGGATAACAACCAATGGTGACCCCCAATCACTTGATACGACTGGAGTTATGATTCCTTGAGACTCGAGGGTTGTAAGTCCCTTTTCTACTCTCTCTCTCGTAATGCGAAAGGGACATCACGTTCTCTAGTAAATACTGTTTTTTCATTATCTCTGAGTTGGAGTTTGACTTCAACATTGGGAACACATCCGATTCTTTCTTCGAAAATTGCTGAGTATTTTTCGAATATATGCTCTAGAGACGGTACTAAATTAACATCAACTGTATTAATTAGTGATTGCTTTCTGTTGTCTACCTCACTGAGTTCAATTCCAAGTCCACGAATCCAAATTCGTCCTAACAAAGCAGAATAACCAGCAGGTACTATAAATAAATCAGTATTTAGTGATTTTGTATTGTAAGAGACTGAGACAGTTACTTTACCTTTAGGTTTTATTATATGATCAGAGTAGGATCGAAATGAGATAGGAGTTGGTTGAAGTGGCACTTTAAGTCCAAGTTTATCAAAGTCCGTTTCTGAGATTAAGGAAAATCGTGCACCAGAGTCTACTTCAAATGTTTGAGGCTTGTTGTTGATAGTGACTGTAACCATGTATTTGTCTGAGTCTGGTCCTACTATGTAAAGATCTCAACGTTGATTTGTGTGATTCCATACTCATCTGGGTGACTGGATTCATCTTCTGAGTAGTGAGACAACAGGGTGTTTGTTTTAAAGTTCTTTAGTAGAGACGTTACACACACTTTTGATACGTGGCCTTGTTTTAAACAGGAAGTGCATTTAAGATAATTCCGATTAGTTTTGCATTCATTAGACTGATGGTTTGATCGACCACATTTGAAACAAAGTCCATCAATACCCAAAGCTTTGTAGTCAACGTGTCTTTTTAAG